AGTCTTCTTACTAATAATAAAATATTCTCCTTAATTAATATACTAAGGAACTGTTAACAATAAGATCTTTGTGATCCAAGTAGCCAGTACACCTACAGCGCTCTGGCAAAAGTTAACAAACATCTGCTATACATATTCTGAGCTAGAATCGATTCTCATTGTAAGATAAGTCACTAGTGAGATTATTTCATGTACTAGTAAGTGTAGTTTTTCTTTGATTATTTGTAAATGTATACCCAAAGTATTATGTGTTGCACAAATTTCTTATTATCAACTTTGCAAAGGTAATACCATAGATGAAAAGCGTCTTATTTCTAGTCACTCTGTTCATTACAGGCAAAGGTTAATGATTACTGAGAGTGATGCACAGACGCTGTCATATTCTAGGACATAAAAAATAGGCATAAACAACATAGGTACAGCTACTGCAGCGTCAGATTTACAGCAAAATGACGAAAATATCTGCTGCATAACACCACTATAGGACTAAATCCAAAACACCCTCACACAGCAGGAACAGAGCTCTTAATTCTACATTTTCTGTAAGTGGGTTGCGACTTTGCGTCTGGAGGGTGCGTCCCTATTGGAAACAAATAACCAGGCAAATTTTACCTTGTACTACATGGCTGTTGGGAACAAACTCTACCATCCTTTTGATAATTACCGTCCTCTATGATCAAGTCGTGAAATCATTATTTCAATATCATCATTTACATATTTTATAATATTTCATGCAAAAAATTAAAATTCTAAATTCCGAATGAATAAATAATTGATGAATAAAGAAAATAAACCATTGATAGAGATGTATGTTGATTTTTCCCACAATTTTATCATACAAAACATATTGCTAAATACATATATATGTTTTGATATCATTCAATTATTATTTTTATATACAGTAAATAACATGAACATACACTGTTCTGTTAATAAGTACAAAAATAAATGTATAAAATAGGTTTATCAATCAAAAACTGAGCTGACTGCATAGAAATCACTGAAACAGAAGAAAAATAGAAAAGCAGCAATAAAAAAATCCCTGTAAATATTTAAGAAAAAATTAAGGAAAAAATAATGGAAAAAATAAACTTTCACAAAATATGGTAAATTTACATTTGGAATGAACTAGAAACCAAGCATTTAAAAAGGAAAGAAAACTGACAATTAAGAGAAAATACACACACAAAATGTACATATAAAACCAAAACGGAAAATAAGACATCCAGCTTTCACACCACACAAGAGAATCTTAAAATATATCCTAAATAATAATTCCTCTAGATATGATTAATGAAAATTCAACAATAAAGGCATAAACATGACAAAAAAAAAACTGAACTGTCAAACTGCACCTGATTATCCATAAACAAATATTCATAAAGATCTTTAACAAAAACCACCTGCTACTTACTCTCACGCGCCGGTGCCTGAGACTTACGTAATCCTTAGGGCCTTTAACTCGCTCCCGTGACACCCACTTCCCTCTTATTCAAATTGTCTCTCGAGCGATAAAGTTGGTTTAATTGAAATGCGGTGCGGAGTTGCTAAGCAATTAATCCACCAATTATAACCCTTTTCGAGGATAATCTCGTGGCTGATTGGCTGGCTGACCGGATGCCCGACCAATCAGAACGAGCGTTGTGAAAAGACTACGGGTCATTGGTTAAAAGGGCCGGGTTCGGACCGCAAAGAAAACGGAGATGTTGTTTACATTCGTGACGTCATGGATGTGGGGGTCTCTACACTTGCCGTGTTGTATTTTGATTGGTCGAGGGGTTTGTCGTGACGTCAGCGAGATAGGGCTAGTTTGTTTCTGATTGGCTGAATGACGTCATGGATGTGGAGTTTCTCACCTCGCCGTGGTGGTTTTTGATTGGTCAGGGAGAGAAACACTACTTTTATGTCGATTAATAAACTATTGTAAAGTTATTTAACAACTAATAGAGAAATTAGTATTACATAATGGAAGAGAACCATTTGTTTTTCACCTCAAACATGCAGCTATAACTATCTATTGATCTCTTTTATAATCCCATCTATTACAACGGTCACAAGAATGATATAGTTAATATTAAACCAAGACGTTAAATCGAATGGTTTGGATAGAAAGAATAAACAATTACAGTCCAATTATAAAGAAAAAAACAACAACATTTATATCTCCATAGCACGCATGACTGGCGTTCGCAAGGATGAACGAAGGTCCACTGCTGTTTCTGTTTTATCAATGAAAGTATAAATTAGCATCTTAAACATCTAAAAGGAACTCGCATTATTGATAATAATAATAGTAGTAGTAGTAGTAGTAGTAGTAGTAGTAGTAATAATAATAATAATGATAATAATAAGAATAAGAATAAATATATAATATTCACAATTATCGAATAATGCATTTTATCAAAGTAAGAGCTGTAATCTGTGATATCTGATATCACTTAATTCTTCAGGTAAATATTTGTTATTTGATAATGTAACCTGTTTTTCTCTTGGTACGAGTTCTAGACTCTCGTAGAATGGAGGAAGATGCGTATTATTATTATTATTATTATCATTATTATTATTATCATCCTTATCACTACTACTACTACTTCTACTACTACTACTAATATCATCACCATCATTATTATTAGTATTATCATCATTATTATTATAACTATCATCTTCATTGTCATTATTACAATTGTGTTAACGGCAAGGGTGTTGTAATATAGACTGTATGGATATATGGTACTATCACTGAGAAGAGTTTAAGAACCATTGGGTAAGAAGAAATCAATATGCAATGCAGTAATGGTAAATATTAATGTCACATGCGAAATTAAACATACTGAAAACAAATGGAAATGAATGAATATGTAATCAGTTCTGATAATGTATAATGAGAAAGTTTATGTATTAGTGAGTTTAGCGTTATTGAAGAAATAAATCGTAAATGCTTTTGTAAAATATATGCAAACAGTAAACCTATAAGACGCCACTGATATATGAAAAAAAGGACAAGGAATTGACGAAACATGCCATATGGCAAAACATAAATGGCCAAGAAATAGACGAACAAAATGAGAGAGAGAAAAAAAAAGAGAGAAATTCGAAAAAAAGGACAATATAAATATCCCACCAATGAAAGTGGAAGTAATAATCATCAGCATCTGAAATCAAGCAAGTCAGAGGACCAAGAAGTGTAGATATAGGCATATGTATAGGCACACACATAAACACATACTTCTATTCCTATATCTATTTGTCTATGAATAAATAAATGAATAAATAAATAAATAGATAAATAAACAAATACATAAATAAATAGAATAAATAAATACATAAATAAATACATAGATAAAATAAATGAATAAATACATAAATAAATAAATAAATAAAAAAAACAAATAGATAAATAAATAAATAAATGAACAAATAAATAAATAAACAAATAAATAAATAAATAAATAGATAAATAAACAAATATATATATGTATATATATATTATATATATTATATATTATATATATATATTATTATATATATATATATCTCTATATATATATATCTATATTATATATATATCTATATTATATATATATCTATATTATATATATATTATATATATATTATATATTATATATATCTATATTATATATATATATAACATATATATATATATATCTCTATATATATATATAATTATATATATATATATCTCTATATATATATATTATATATCTATATATCTATATATATATATATTTATATATATATATATCTATATATCTATATATATTATATATCTATATATCTATATATTATATATATCTATATTATATATATATAATATATATTATATATATAATATATATTATATATATATTATATTATATATATATCTATATTATATATATATATATATCTATCTATATATATATATAACTATATATATATATATTATATATATATATATGTGTGTGTGTGTGTGTATATATATATATAACATATATATATATTATTATATATATATATATTATATATATATATATGTTATATATATATATAACATATATATATATATATATAAAACATATATATATATATCTCTATATATATATATAAAACATATATATATATATAAAACATATATATATATATACATATATATATATATTTATATATATATATAAAACATATATATATATATAAAACATATATATATATATACATATATATAACATATATATATATATACATATACATATATATAACATATATATATATATCTATATTATATATATATATATAAAACATATATATATATATCTCTATATATATATATATGTGTGTGTGTGTGTGTTGTGTGTGTGTGTGTTGTGTGTGTGTGTGTTGTGTGTGTGTGTGTGCGTGTGTGTGTCTTTTTTGTTTTAATTATTATTATTATTACTATCATTATTTTGATTATCATCATTATTATCATTATTGCTACCATTATTGTAATTGTTCTTCTTATCATCATAACTACAATCATCATTATTATCATTATTGCTACCATTATTGTAATTGTTCTTCTTATCATCATAACTACAATCATCATTATTATTATTATCTTTGTTACTATCATTATTATGATTATTATTATTTGATTATTACTTTCATCAACATTACTGATATTACTATCAACACTGTAATTATAATCGTCAATGAAATTGATATTGGTATAAAATATCTCCTTTACTACATCAGTGTTATTAATATCTTGTCGGTATTATTACTGTGATTTTTGTTATCATTATCATCCTTAATATCAATATTATTCTCTTTATCATTATCATCATTCTCATTTTTATTTTCATGAATATCATGATTACTACTACTACTATTACTATTATCATCATTTATTATCATTATTGCTACCATTATTGTAATTGTTCTTCTTATCATCATAACTACAATCATCATTATTATTATTATTGCTACCATTATTGTAATTGTTCTTCTTATCATCATAACTACAATCATCATTATTATCATTATTGCTACCATTATTGTAATTGTTCTTCTTATCATCATAACTACAATCATCATTATTATCATTATTGCTACCATTATTGTAATTGTTCTTCTTATCATCATAACTACAATCATCATTATTATCATTATTGCTACCATTATTGTAATTGTTCTTCTTATCATCATAACTACAATCATCATTATTATCATTATTGCTACCATTATTGTAATTGTTCTTCTTATCATCATAACTACAATCATCATTATTATTATTATCTTTGTTACTATCATTATTATGATTATTATTATTTGATTATTACTTTCATTAACATTACTGATATTACTGTCATCATTGTAATTATAATCGTCAATGAAATTGATATTGGTATAAAATATTTCCTTTACTACATCTGTGTTATTAATATCTTGTCGGTATTATTACTGTGATTTTTGTTATCATTATCATCATTAATATCAATATTATCATCTTTATCATTATCATCATTAATATCAATATTATTCTCTTTATCATTATCATCATTAATATCAATATTATTCTCTTTATCATTATCATCATTAATATCAATATTATTCTCTTTATCATTATCATCATTAATATCAATATTATTCTCTTTATCATTATCATCATTAATATCAATATTATTCTCTTTATCATTATCATCATTAATATCAATATTATTCTCTTTATCATTATCATCATTAATATCAATATTATTCTCTTTATCATTATCATCATTATTATCATTATTGCTACCATTATTGTAATTGTTCTTCTTATCATCATAACTACAATCATCATTATTATCATTATTGCTACCATTATTGTAATTGTTCTTCTTATCATCATAACTACAATCATCATTATTATCATTATTGCTACCATTATTGTAATTGTTCTTCTTATCATCATAACTACAATCATCATTATTATCATTATTGCTACCATTATTGTAATTGTTCTTCTTATCATCATAACTACAATCATCATTATTATCATTATTGCTACCATTATTGTAATTGTTCTTCTTATCATCATAACTACAATCATCATTATTATCATTATTGCTACCATTATTGTAATTGTTCTTCTTATCATCATAACTACAATCATCATTATTATCATTATTGCTACCATTATTGTAATTGTTCTTCTTATCATCATAACTACAATCATCATTATTATCATTATTGCTACCATTATTGTAATTGTTCTTCTTATCATCATAACTACAATCATCATTATTATCATTATTGCTACCATTATTGTAATTGTTCTTCTTATCATCATAACTACAATCATCATTATTATCATTATTGCTACCATTATTGTAATTGTTCTTCTTATCATCATAACTACAATCATCATTATTATCATTATTGCTACCATTATTGTAATTGTTCTTCTTATCATCATAACTACAATCATCATTATTATCATTATTGCTACCATTATTGTAATTGTTCTTCTTATCATCATAACTACAATCATCATTA